AGTTGGAGTCATTATAAATTTTGGATTTAAATGTGAAGACAAAGGTCTGTAATATATTCTGTATATTATTGCAAAATTCTTTGTATGTTTTTCAAATTCATTTCCTTGTAGATGAATATCTAAAATAACTGAATTTAGAATATGCGGGTCTGTTAGATCTATTGAAAAATTTGGAGCACAGTTAAAATATATTGGTCCATTACATACATTTGTTTGAATCATAGAAAGTAAAGAAGTTTTATATCTTTTGAGTCTAGTGTCTCTTAAAGCTAAATATATTGGAGCATCTACTCCTAGATGGAATAAGGGCTTTACAGCAATTTGTATTAATCCAATATGAATATATCGATATCCTTTACTTAAATATTTTTGAATTGTACTATGATTTAGTAATTGTATGGTTTGATATTCTTCTTGAATAGATATTGTTTCTTCATGGGTTTTAACTGATAAAGCTGTTTTGAAATCTAAAGGGCCAATTCTATAAATGTGTTCAATTTTTTCTTCTGGGATTGTCCAATCTGAATTGTTTATAGGCATATGATATTCATGACTTTGTACTACATTATCTTGCTTTGAATTAGATCCTATTTTTAATTGTCTAAGAAATGCAGCCATGTTTAATATTTAATTAAATTTTACTTAGACGGGAACAACCGAGCCTATGCCTGGAACATCCTATCCTGGACTTACCAACGGTCTGACAAAGCATCAAGTCTTACCAACGTTTTCAGTAAAGTTTAATAAAATATGTAACATAAATGCATGAAATAGCCAAGTTAAAATAGAAACGTAATTCAAATAAAGTAAATGTAAATGCAAAGTTTAAATATGCGTATGGAATATAAACAACGGTGTGGCTCTGATACCACTTCTCAAAAGGAGTGGCTCTCAAAAATTAATAAGAAAAAAAATGTTCTGAACACACTCATCTAATTTTTCAAGGAAAGTTCAAGTGCAAATAAAGTAGCCAAAATTGGATACCAAGTTTTGATGGCCATACATCATGCCCTTTGACTTTGTTATTGAGTCAAACAACAAAGTTTACCGTATTATTTTTTTAACAAAGTGTTACCGTATTGTTGTTATTATCTCTTCTATAATAAAACTGGAGGCATAGTATTGGTTTAATGTAAACTTTTACCATATTTAGTCTTACCAAATTTACTCCTATGTGATAAGATCAAATAATTTTATAACTTCCACAACTACCATTCAAGATGATAACTACCGTCACATTTTTTGTAAATCTACAATTAATTTGGGTGATAACTGCTACCATCGCTAAAACCATTTTCTACTCATCATAACACCCATAATAAACTACTCATCAAATCTATCCATAATAAACTCAAAATGATTTCAATAAATATAATAAAAAAATTTTACAAATATTTTTCCTATTAATTGCACACATATTAGTGTATGCCTTGCACACTATTATTATTATTATTATTATAGCCCTCTATTTAATGGAAATTGGAAAGATACCAGAGAGTCAAATATAAGTGTAAACTAAACTTCTTTATGTTAAATTGTAGATATAATTGAATTTCTGGAGACAAGAGTCCTCTTTTGTGTGTGTTGTGTGTGCATGTGTGTGTATGGTCTTTTTTTAAATTCTGGAAAGCTTCAGTGACGTTGGGGTCCAAAAATGAGGACTTTCACCCTATATCTTGATATGTAAGCGTTCAAATGGTAGTCGAAAAAAAAGAGTCATTGTGGTCAATGTTTTCAAAATGAACAACAACTCAAAAATTAATAAGAAAAAAAATGGAAGAAGATTGCTCCAACCAACACAATTTTCATGTAGAATCTAATTAATTTATCACTCATGCAAGCTAATTTTGACTTAAATGGATTCTAGTGGACAAGTTGAATTGACAACGATGGAAAGTGAACAAAAGAGAAAGGAAAGAAAGGGAGAGAAGAAACTAAAGTTGAAGAGAAAAATTCCTGAGAACAATAAGCATGAAAAGAAACAAGAACTAGATCTAATAACCAAAGTGCAAAATGAATATGCAACAAAATTTAAGTATCATCTAAATAATTCTCAGATAAGCATCAGTTTACGATTAACGTCTTGTTGTATCCATAAGAGAACTCTACTAAATATCATTCTTCTCGTAATATATGAGCATTTCATGTGGATACTTTCAACCATGTATTAATTATGATAAATTATGATTTTATTTTATTGGTTCCAAATGGTTCATTTTGGTTGGTCAAAATCTTGAAGTGTTCTTTTCTGCTGGCACATGACAATCTAGAGTCTAGAACCCTGCTAAACACATAGTAAACATATGTCCTGATTAAGAATGACTATAGTTTAACCTATTCATTGCATCAACATTGAGTTAACTTGGAAACTAAAAACTAGGGGCATTTCATTGGACTCTTATCAAAATTTTCAATTAAACTAGTACGTTTAGGATCACATACTCTAGATTCTAGAACCAACATCCAAAACAATTAGCAGTAACAAGACTCATGATATATAAGCGAATAATTTATATTTTCCAAAATCAAGGAACAAGGGAGTGCATTTTATTAATTTCTAAAGCAAAACATAAACCAGAGATTTTGAATCCAACAATGTTGCATGCCAACTAAGCTGTTGTCTAATTCATTGATTCCAACATCATATGTGACTTTAGAAATGTCTCTTCTTATTATGCATTTTGCTTTATCATCTAATAAAAAAAATTGATAAATGCTAATGACAATTAGTTCTAATACTTTTATTTAATATTATATTTTTTATCAACACAAATTTTCAAGAAAACTTTTGTCTTAATGTTTTCATCATATACCATTATTCTAGAATTCATGTTTCAATGTATCTTGAAAATTTAGATTCATATGACATCGACCTACTTATATATAAGTAAGGAAGTTTCGAACCTGATACCTCTCAATCATGCTTCATTCCCCCATATTACCCAACCCATCTCTCTTTCACTTAGACAACTTGGCATTTGTTGACAGGAAGAAAATCATAAAACTTGAAATTAAATTGCATTCAGCGTGGCACTTTGGATTGCTCTAATCAGCTGGTAGATATTTAACAAATTCTTGTAGAATATGCTAATTCTGTCTAGAAGCATATTTTGTCAAATGATAGGTCTAGTAACATGATATGCTGAGCAATGATAAAAAGGGCCAGCAAAGATGTAAATAAATGCGCGTATTTTCTCTTAATAGTCATGCGGATTATTACACAAAGGTTTATCTCAAAATTTTGTGGTCACCTTTTATGCTTATAGGATTGAACATAACAATAACATTTTCATTATTTAAGTATTCTATTTTTAGTCATATTCAAGAAAAGTTACTAAATTATATATAAATGCTCCTATCATTCCCATTTTCATTTGTGAGACTTTGCCTTTTACGCTTTAGAGAATTCTCACTTAATTTCAAACAAATATATATATATATATATATATATATATATATATATATATATATATATATATATATATATGATCCTACATCATCAATTTCACAATAAACCTATTTTTTAAATGGCATAATCAATGGAAAGACAATAATTACATAGTCGAATTTCGAACTATTTTCCAACTTTTGACTTTTATTTTATTTTTTTTTTACTTCTACCTTATGGTTTAAGTTTCAAAACTTAGAAAAATATTTGAATTTCCTAGATACTAAAGAAGCATAAAATGATAATCATATTCGATTGTTTTATCCTCTAATGTGAAAAACAAACTGTTTTTTTTTATCTACAGGTCATAAAAAATACAATTAGATGCCCTCTAAAACCTGAACATTATGACCTCCATTTCTCTTTTAGATGTGCCACATTCTAGCATTGCTCTTCCTACTACTTTAGAATATAAGTGTAAGTTGGCATTTCTTTACCAAATATTAGTATACAAAAATGCATGGAAAGAGGGTTAATTAGTATTGTCAATCTTCAAGTACTCTAGAACATAAATAAAATAGACACCATTATCACTTATGTTTTGTTAAACATGAAGAAACTTTTAACATTATTGTCGCACGATAATTTATCTTCTATTTCAATATTTAACACGAACTATCTTCATTTTTTTAATGCACAACTTTTCACACGCTTTGTAGACAATGGAATTTTGAAATTTTATCGCGTACACACATTTATATCAAACTTTTAATTGTTGCAAAACAAGATAATCACCAAAGCACCTAGCAAATCTCTCATAGGAACTGAAAACTTCAACTTCCATAGATGGATTTCTTAAGATACATTTTTTGTAGTAAAAGAAAAATGTTTTAACTTAGTGGAATTTTAAACATTATTTCTTTAAGTTGCATAGACATAATAATTATTGGGAGGGAAGAGAATAATTTGGAACTATTTACATTCTCTAGAAAATTTTCTATAAAGTATCAAAACTCCATGTACCTTGCCTCTTGACTAAAAAATGAAAGTAAGTGGTCCTTCAATTTTTTAAGACATCTGCGGCCAAATTCCATGCTTGTAGGTTGTCCATTTCACTCCAAATACATGGTTCCTTGAATCTTAAAGGCTACAAGGTGAAGTACCTTATATTTTCTCTAATTTCAATTTCAAAAAGCTAAAGTTTCATAGGGAACCTTGTACAAAGATTATTTCATCACATAGCCTTTCGGTGCACAAACTATTTTACTTTTAATCAACAATTATTATCTCTAGATATCCCTTTTTTTACTTCTTTTATATCATTTGGCATAATGCATATCTCAATGTTACTCCATCATGAAATAAGTCACTTCTCCTTTGAATATGATACTATGTTGGAATTTATCCACTACTATAATCTTAACATAAAAAGCAAAAACTAACTCTTACTCCCACCAATCCGCTCTCTCTCTCTCTCTCTCTCCCTCTTTTGACTCCCAAAACAACTCAATATTTTTGTTCTTTTTTTTCAGACTTTTGTGCTTTTACTATACCTATATATGTTCTGCCTTGGCATTGTTTAAAAGAATATTGATCAATAGAGCCAAGGACTATGGCAGTAGATGTTCGGTCAGAAATTTCAAGGCTTATTGTGAGTTCAAGACACTCTTTCTCTCATGATTTTAAGGAAGTAGGTATAGTCCCGACGGAATGCCACCATAAAACATCAGATGCATTGTTTTTGAAATCCATTGATTTCAATTTCTGCATTAGTCAGAGTTTTTCCCAAGAATTCATATCTTCAATAGATTAATTATTTGCCAATAGCAAGTTTTTTCCAAGTCATATCAAGAAAATTACTACAATCATGTCTATTGTAGAAAAACCCTTCAAGGAAATTCATCAATCCAAACCAATTTCATCGTATTTGTGAAAAAGTACTATCATCCTAGGTACCATTGTAGCAACAAGTCCAAGAATAGAGAATGCAAAGACGGCCCTCAATTCTGATATGAAGGAAAAAAGTTTGAAGGAGTTTTAAACAATGAGTTCTGAATCAAATACAGAAATAGAAGAGGAAAAGAAACCATCATCTGGACCATTTTGGCAATTTCAAAGAAGCAGTAGTTTGAATTATGATAACCGTAGAAATAATACATTAATCCGATCCTTACATTTTCTTTCGCTGAGCAATTGTACTAGTTCAGCTCCAAATCCCAAACCATCAATGATACCAAAGGTTATGCAGAAGCAGCATTCCTAGAAAGATCAGCCATCATCGACAAAACGAACAAATTCATCCGCATCGTCATTCCCAAGTTATAACTTATATAGTTCATATAAAAGTCCTTCATGAAAGAATTATGAAAATAGAGTTAGAATTAATCTTCTTTTGAATATTCCTGACTCTTACATTTCTAAAGATACTGTAGTTTTATTTGATTTTGATTCCTTGTTTTGTAATGCAAAGTCCAAAAAAGAAGAAAAAATGCAATTATTGATCAAACTAGTCATTTCCTTTTCCAGTTGATAATTTATGTCTAATGTTCTAAATTCATTCCATTGCCAACAAAAATTATTTCTGAAAACATCTAAATGAAATATTGAAAATTAATACATTTAAAGCAATAATCTACAATTGTGGTTTCAATCAATTTTGCTGTTGTTAAAAAAATTAAATTTTAGCTATGTGTCATAGGTTCTGAGGACAGAAGATCAAGCCATCCTTCATTTGCAGCTATCCCATGCTTTATTTTTCCTTTTTTTCTTTTTCTTACTAATGTTTTCCATTTTTTTAGACAATTAGATGTATGGTTGTGCCTTCTTTTTGAACTTTGAAGGTTTCTTTTTGGCCACTTTTTAGCTTGATATTAGTAATCTTAAGAATGGCCATTTGTTTATTCCTTTTGATTTTGGCATCCTTTGTTCTAAGGAGATTAAGACAAGACTTGGATATGAAAATATTATAAAATATAAATCAATCATTTTAGATTGTTGTATTGGAACTATGGTTCAAATTTTCAGTTTAGTTAATTTTACTAGAATTCTAATTCTGATCCATAACGTGTCTTTATGCTTAATTTCACTTGAGTTTCTATGTCTATCTATTATAATACAACATCAAGACTCAATTCTCTATTCTTCATTGAAACTTTCACGGTCTTATACAAAAATATTAGTTAGAACACTATTCTCGACGAATCTTGACATCTTGTAACCCAAACTAATATGAATCTTTTATAAGAACTACTGATGTGAGTCTTTTACAACAATTTAAGCATCTTTTGATGGATTTAGGATATGAATTTTTTACAAAAATTACTAATATGAAGTTGACAAATATGAATTTAAGCATCTTTTCAATAAGAATTTAAGCATTTTTTTTATGCATTGAAGTTGTCAAATTTTGAGGGCTAATTGATTAGAATATAGGTGAAAAAAAAATATTCAGACACTTGCGGGTCTGACAGGGGTTCTGTATATATCTATGGGTGCCGGGCTGTGTCAGCCCGGCACCTGACAAAGACTGCAAAAGCTGGCTGCCGGGCAGAGAGTGCCCGGCAGCCAGTCAAATTGTTAAAAAAAAAAAATTCGGCCACATACTGTTTATAAGATGAATGCCGAGTAGATTAGCCATATTATTGGTTCATACCACCGTTATTGGAGCTTCTTAGAGGAAAGATGAGCTGGGTAGAGCAAAAGGTAGCTGTTAGAGCACTAGGACATTTGGCAAGCTATGAAACGACCTTCAAAGCTATAGCGCTTTATGAAGAAGAAGTGGTTAGATTAGCCATGCGTTTGGCTTCTACCTGTGTGAAAAGCTGGCTGCCGGCCTGTTTTAAAAAAAAAAATGCGGCAGAAGAATGCATTTCTGACAATATTCTTCCATCCACGGAATTAAAGTGGAGGTAAAAATTAAACATTGGTTACATTTCTATGGTGGAAAGTTCACTTTCCTGCGCACAATAAGCAGAAGCAAAACAGATGTGGAGATGCATAAAGAATAAAGAAGTATATTGGACACTCGAAAAATCAAATTATGCATGGATGAAAAATATTATATATATTAAAATTATAATAAAAGGCTGTTAAAAATTTATTCATTATTTAATATTCAATACTTATATTTGGTAAATTAAAATAATTAATTAAATATTCTATTATATTATAAGTAACTATATATCGTTAAGTCGATTGAATAATATGTAAGCAGTTATTTTTTTTGGTATTTCAAGTAGTTGTCTATTAAGTTTTAATTGAAATAAAGATTTTATAATTATTTGAAATTATGCAATAAAAAAATCAATGTAAGATAAACATAAATGTAAGATGAAAAAATAAATGTAAGATGAACAAATTGTATGATTGAAATATTTGATTTAATATGCAAGAAAGACAAGAAGAAATGGCAAGAAGTTTTTTAAAAATTAATGTGAGTTCTTTATATTGGTAATCACCTTTATTTGTTATTTTAATCATAATACCTGATTATAACCGATTATAATACCTAATACTATTTACAACTAAAGTTACTATATACTCAAACTAAAATTTTCTATTTCACTAAATTTTCTTTTATATATGATGCACGTTTCATCATTTGTTAAAACAAATTAAATGATAAAACAAATGATAAACAAATGATAAATTTTAACAAATAAATGTTTTCCGAAACCTAAACCCCAAACCCCAAACCCCAAACCCTAAAGAAGAATGCATTTCTGAAACCTAAACCCTGAAACCCTAAACCGTAAACCGTAAACCCTAAAAGCCTAAACCGTAAACCCTGAACCCTAAACCCTAAACCCTGAACCCTAAACCCTAAACCCTAAACCCTAGACTATACACAGCGTAGAAGTACAAAATAATGTAACCTTAAAGAAGGAACCCTAAAGAAGAATGCATTTCTAAAACCTAAACCCTAAAACCCTAAAAACATCCACGGAATTAAAGCGGAGAGAAGAATTAAACATAGGTTACATTTGTATGGTGGAAAGTTCACTTTTCTGCGCACAATAAGTAGGAGCAATGCAAATGTGGAGACGCACAGAAAAGTATATTGGGCACTAGAAAAAGCTGATTATGCATATATGAAAAATAGTATATATTTGAAAATTACAATAAAAGTCCTCTTAAAAATTTATTCATTATCTAATGTTCAATATTTATATTTGGTAAATTTAAATAGTTAATTAAATATTCTATTATAATATAAGTAACTATATAGCGTTAAGTCGATTGAATAATATGTAAGCAGTTATTTTTTTTGGCATTTCAAGTAGTTGTCTATTAAGTTTCACTTGAAATAAAGATTTTATAATTATTTGAAATTATGCAATAAAAAATCAACATAAGAAGAAAAAATGCATAACATGACATTGTACAATCGTGAATTTAAAAATAGCGATAAGCATTATAATAATAAAAGATTAAATTAACGCTAAATCCCTATATTCAAATATTTGAAATTGTAAAACATGCAATTGAAATGATCATATCAACGGTTGGTACGCCTTTTGCCCTTGCCTTTATCACCTGGTGTTGTAGACGAACAGCAAAATCTTTTAGACTTTCGTCTGCAACGATCACGAAGAGCATAGGGTCCTACGTCATCCTCCTCATCCGACTCAACTGTCGTACTGCTATCACCATCGTGTTGAGAATGATACGTGACAAAATTCCCCGTCTGACCGTATGTAGTAGTAGATATCGGCTGGATCGACGCAGGTACGGTCATAGTCTGTCCAAGACTGTAATAATCGGGAAGGTCTGAAATGGAAGGGACACCACCCGTTTCATTCAGAAAATTGAATATTGGATGTAGGTTAGCAGTAGAAGATGAGGCCGCTGCAGTGGCAACCTATCCAAATGGAGGCTCGTTTGACGATGATGGAAAATGTCCCCCAAATACAGGCAAATATGGAGAGGGCCTGGAATATACACCAAAAGGTGGAAACTGTGGCAAAGGCGTGGCATCTAGAGCAATACGCTGTGAGTGCGGGAACGATGTCACCTGAGGGGTAAATGCCGATATATTCTGTCCAGGTGACACACCGTGGATGTCTGTCATCGGCACAGACACAGATGTGATGAATTGATTACTAGTCGGGTTGTAACGCGACTGAGTGCCCCCCTCGGTCATTTGAATGCCCGTCTCCTCAATGACTTCGTCTTGCAATCCATGCCTATGGCGTCGATTTCTACTAGATGATGGTCCACCTTGTGTAGGGACACGTCGCACGCGAGGTTGGATAGGAATTTCTGGTGTCACATGAGGATTATGATCGAAAGAATCATAATCACCAACAACCATGCTATCAAAACGCTGGAGATATTGCATTGATCCATATGCTCCATCAGCAATTGTTGCAAGACGTGGATGAAATCGACTTCCAGGGTCATCAAGTTCAAGTGCATCATGTGATTGCCGACCAATGCGCTGCATAGTATTCATCTGACATATACAAAATAGGAGAAAACATGATCATCCATTGTCCAAAAGTAAATAAATTAAATTTGGGAGATAGTAGTAATTTACTAAATACTCAAACTGGCCCGAAACTCCATGCAACATTTGTCCAACTTGTGCCTGCTGCTGGATAGGAGGAGTAATGTACAGAACGGTGTGATTGTGATACCACTCCAGATAATTATTGGAAGGCCTGAACATGGTTGTAGGCACACCAGGTACTTGTGCTTCTGCACGCGCATTCCAGTATCCTATCCAATCCCGATGAAAATGAGCCCAATTTCTTCCAGGATAACCGGAAATCTCCAATTGGTGTAAACCTCGATTAGTGTCAACTTCGTCCGGAATTTCCTGCCTCATCCCAAATTGGCGCATGAAACGATCTGGACAATGTATTTCGACGATGTGCCAGAAAATTAGAGGAACTCTTGCCCGCCATATGCGCTCCCCTCTTCTGCAATAATCAGGTAGACTAGCCAGTACGCCATCGCTATACGGCATCCAAATAAACTGCTACCATAACCATAATTTAGATACGATCCAAAATTAAAAATGAGGGACTATAAAATATTATTTATTGATATAGACGTTATACCTGATCCAACCGCAATAAAGCTAGCTGCTCCCGATAAGATGTGCTGGATCGGCTATAAGGATCAACCTCAGTTCGTTCAGCAGCCCATCTATCACCTCTAGGAAAATTCCCAATCCCAGAATATGGAAGTACATCAGGACGAATCACGGGAATCCGCTCCCACGCCCAAAGCTGTACTAACAAGTACGGACCTCCAGAT